ACACAGGTTCAACGAAACTCTATTATAACAGTGCTGAAAAGAAGAGAAGAAACAATAAAGGGCTTTGAAACAAAGGTATGTAGTACCAACTATTAACAACAGCAAAGGATTGGTTTCTGCATCGTTGTAACAACGAGATTAGCGACAAATCGCATAAATTAAATTTTAGAATTTGTTCTAGATTAAGAACAGCGTAATCAATATCCACAGCACATGAAGTGGTGGTAGTTATTGATGATAAAGACAAATTACACCATACAGAAGTTCAGAACGCTTTCCTCTAGAGATGCAGAAATAATCTCACTTTTTTAGAAAAGTTTGATAAATATTTTAAAAAATTCGAAAACTTGAGTTCAGGAGAAGGACGTTGTTTTGGAAGAAACAAAGTGACAGCATGCGTCAAATACTAATATGAACTTTAGCAAGTAAAGTGCTCTTATTTAAAAAATTTGTCTCAAGAATTGATATGGGACTGTAAGTAAAAATCTTTATACATTTTGGCAGTGTTAGAGAGCTTAAAATTGTATTTTTTTTATTCTAACTTTTATTTTGGACAGGCGGTTAGTACTATTGCCTCTACGTAATTTTTATCCTGCAGTTTTTTTATATTTTAAATCAAGAGTGTTATTCAGCATATTCTGGTTAAATTTTTGATAGTTACCAAAAATATTGATTCTTCTTTTACTTTATTATAATTTTATTTTCTTCTTACTTTTATAATGTGGAATGACCTCAACTGAGGCAAAAAATAGCAGCATACTTATGTGATAAGACTTCAAAAAAGGTTTAAAAAGTATAATTATGTCAAAATACCTAGGCTGAGAGGTGGGTGTTCCAACGGTTAAGCAACTTGCCAATTAGCGGCAAAACGAGCTTCTAAAAATGCTACGACAAAACCCATTGTCTCAAAAGATTGGTTGTCTAGCAATTCCATTAGAACAGCCCCTGGGTAGCCAAAGCTGACAATATTAAAATTAATGTAAAAAGCCTATCCTTTGGACGGACAAATGGAGTCATCATTGGTAATACAATTTCCATATGATCAACTTCTTCGCACGTCTCTTCCAGCACTATCGCCTTTGCTTTTGCTGCAGTTTTCCTAATAAAGGTGCTATATGGCGGATCTCAAAAGCTGTTTAATAAAATGTCTGAAACGCTAAGCTACGCACCTCGGACTTACTCACAATTAATTTGTTGCTGAATTCTGAAAAACACTTCTTCTTGGCAGGCCTTATTTGACTTAGCAGGTGCTGACAACATACCATAATTTGTTGTGTTGATGCAGATCCACAACCTTTCACAAAGCTTATTATGTTTCGTAATCCATGGAAGAGACGCGGGCAGCATAAGAAGGAGGTTGTTGAAATAATTATCCGACAAAAAAAGTAAAGAAAATCAGCGTTGGGGATATGAAAAGATGGGTGCACTCGCTATAAATTTAGGAAAACTGAAAATTACGCCAGTCGACTATGAGAATATTAGAATTGCTTACGGTATCTTAGAGGAAAGACTATTGCAGGAAACTATTAGGGCAAGTACCAAATAAATGCCACCTTAAAGGGAATGAAAAAAAAAAAGAAAAAAAACAGAATAAAGCGTAGATGTATTCAATCGAGCAGAATTCCTAGTTTAAAAATTTTGAGTTTCAGATGACATACACAAAGCTTTTGTGTAAATCAGCACAGTAGACCCTGGAAGAAATTTTAAACGACCGTAATATTCAGCCGAAAAACAGTAATTCTTGTATTGAAGCTGCAAAATGTGGCTATCCCCATAATCGTTTACCTGCAGCAAAATAACAGCTCCACAGTAGTTTCTCAATGATAATGGAAAGCGGAACTTCAAAAATCTACCATACAAAAACTACTGGTATTGGTTTCATGATTCCAAAACTTGTAAACTTATCTAAAAATAAAATAGCGGGACTTCTTTTTTTCTAACAGATACACATATTATAATTTTTCTTCCTTTTTGTAAAAAAAAATATCTTTAAAAAATCTGTTGTGTGTTAAGCGAATAAGCGAATACTCGACGTTAACAGTAGCCAAACCTGTTAAACTTCGTAAAGATTTTTAGAAAGAGTCGTTCTTTAGACAGTGGTAGCTGGTGGAACCAAAGCAAAACAAAAGCTATTTCGCTGTCAGTCTTTTTTAAAACTTATCTATTTCTAAGAAGAGGAAAATAAGATCATTAAAAAACTGTATTTTACACCTCGTTTCTGAATAATTCATCAATAATGCGACCATCTTTAAAAGAAATATTAACGAACTTCCTCCCATCTCATCGAAATATTTTTCAACCACGCAGTTAGGGATTGCAAATGATGCATCAGAACGTTCATTCCCGTTGATGCGACGCCTAATAAAGTAATCATCCACGTTTGGAAACTTCCATCTTATAAATTTTATCGGCAGAACATTCAAGCCATGATGTTCATAAATGCCTTAAAAATTTTAGACATTGGAAGAGCGTAAAAAAAGATAATTCTCAAAAGCTTTTTTAGCCATAAAGTTTATCTATTTAAATAAGCTTTTCAAATTTAAGTCAAGATTGGTCAATAAATATTCTTTCTCGCTGAGGGTAAGCCTTTAAACCCAAATAATTTCCTATTGTAATTTTTGTTTTGAGTCTCATAACTTCATTGTAGTATGATATTTATCATTTCTTCCTAAACAAAGCCGGACATCTATAAACGTTATTACTAAAAATCGTAATCAGCTGTCACTTAGAGACTGGTAGGAAAATCAGCGCCTTAAATGCGGTTTTACCAATGATATGTTTTTCTTCCATTTACCTAGTGGCTCTCTTTTAAGAGTGCCGCTATCATTCTAGTTACTGCTTTTCTTCGCCGACACTCATCCTTTATCCATAAAACAGTAGGCGCTTCACCTACTGATACTGCAGAGGAACTAAGTAGAGCACTCCTTTTATAAGAATCTCAAAAAATTTGTGGGACCTATTAACTGTATAACTTGTCAAGTTAATGAGAATCCTTCGAGAGATAAAAACTTTGGGGCAGGTAAGATTAAAAAATGAGAAGAACATTAAATAGAGAGATTTTTAATGCATACAAATCTTAAAATGTCTTTTTTACGGCTTCTATGCTTGAGTGTTATTCATTTTTGACAGAAAAGGCAAAGTTTTGCAAATTTTTGCAAAATAATCAAAGCAGATTCCTCAGTTGAACAACTTACAGGATATCTCTGCGAAGAACAATTTTTATCAAAACGTTAACTGTTACAAAGCAGACAAAATTGCAAATCTGCCTGATTAACAATCAAAGTAAGTTTTGTTCTTATAAAAATGCTTAGTGGTTGCTGAAAATATTATGCATAAATGGAAACGATAACATCTTACTTCTCAATATAATTTTTAAACAAGAACAATGGCAAAATTTCTTCGCTCAAACCAATAAGTTTTAAAGTTTTAATGCCAGTGCATAACTCACAGTCTTCAGCTTTTTAAAATGTCATAAAGACGTGAGAGAAATAACATTAACATCAGACCTTCGGTGACCAATTCGAAATCGCCATCATCTTTATACATAAGAAGAGACCCGGAATATTTTGAGCAAAACGAACTTAAGTTTTCATAACCAACAACAGGTTCATTTCCAGTCTAAAAGTCAGCGTGTTACATGCTTTCTTTCTTTGCAAAGCATATTTACTATTTCTTTAAATGACATAACAATTCTAATATCAGGCCATTTTGACAAATAGTAAAGAAATTATAACTAAAAAACTCCCCTAAATCAAGCCAACATCTTAAAATAAAGCGCTTTTTGATCTAAAAAAGGACTAATTTTATCTAACAGCAGCCGCTTTGTTAAACTATAATCTCAAACTTTCCAGTTCATGATCAAGGTGTCATCTCTTCCCAGCATTTCTACCTCCCTTCTTTCGCGAATAGCTAAAGCACCAAACACGTTTATACAACCTTTGAAGCTTCACTAAAGAGACTGATCCTTGATCAATTATTGTATACAATTAGCACCTTACTGAATTTCTGTACTCGACTAGAAACGTCCTAGATGCTGCTTTCATACCACTTTATCCTCTTCGCTTTTATGCTGCCACACTGCGCCTGTTAAACTTACTTTTTTGCTTGAATTTCTCTTATTATTGCGGCGTTTAAATATGTTTTTCCCCTGCTCCCCGTAACTGGAAAGAATCATTTTTAATTTTTACACAAACACAGGCCTGTTTTAAAATTTTTTAATACGGTTGAAAAGAGGTCCTTACATTGAATTATACTTCTATCAATTCTAGGGTTGCACGCGCTGAACTGCGCACAAAAAATTTTAGAAACAAACCTACATTACACATAATCACTGCTAAGCTGCAATTAATAGTCAACAGTTTTCTGACTAGATACTAAGTCATCGAATAATAGTAATTTATGTTTTTCATTTTTGAGATTATATAGTTTTGTGCAAAGTATTTCTTGCCATTGCCTTTCTGTCAGAGTAATGACCAACTCGCACTCTTGCTCCCTTAACCGTTTTTTTCCCAAAGATGTGAAGGAATTTGCTATGATTCTTCAAGGATGTTATAAAATATGTCGAGAAAATCGCTGGAAATTACAGATCTCAAAATAATTTTTTGTAAACCTTTTAGCTATATATATATATAATGTTGAAAATTGGTATTGGGCAGGAACCTCTCTTGTAAAACATACATAACAGCAGGTGACAGTGCATCTCACTGTACTGTTATTTTACTGTTAGTTTATCAGTTGCCCTTCTAAAGCCGCTGTGTAATTCAAAAGGATGTATGGCAGATTTTTCATAGCATGAGCTGCAGCTTGCAACTAGCTGGAAGTTACATGCATCATTACACGTTTAGTTTGCTCGTGAGTGCAAGCGGCTCTTCACCTCTCATTAGTACTGGGGTTTCTGAACGTGAACATGCAGCTGTTTCATTATTTTCCTATAAAGGAGCAAAATTATAATTGCATTTAATGCTCCGTTTTCTGTTTATCCTGCTCAAGCTTTACTTAAAAAGCATCCGAGTTTTTGGAATTTAGACTTTCTTGTAAATCCATATTTTTAAATCCGCATTCCCTTCGAGCAGTTTTGAAGAGATATCATTTCAGCACAATAACAACAGAAACGGCTTTGCGGTTTGCGATGCCCAGTCTGTAATCGGGCGTCCCTTGTTCGTTTGCCGATGCAGAAATGAGAGGCTATGCTTAGCAGATTGCCTAAACTGTTCCGCCGTAACTGAGCATGGAAAAACATGTTTCAGACCAGCTTATATATCCTTATTTTATCTCCAGCAAGTTTGGGCTTCTAATCAGCTGTTCACTTAGAAATTGGCTGTACTTAAAAACCTCGTGCTAGTGTAATACAACAGCCAACTGTTTTGAATATATTAAGATGATGTGCCATTGTTTAAAAAGCAGTACTTAGAAAAAAGGAATGGTTTTTTGCAAAACCGGTTCACAAAAACCCTAACCATGCACTGAAATTCTACAACAAAAACTTACGTCAACAAAAGAATAACAGAGGTGTACGTCTTTGGCGGAATCAATTACTGAAACTGTTTTATATACATACTGAAATGGCCCACAATTTGTTCTACCAATCACTAGAAAACAATTTATATGTAAGTAAAGTACTGAAGAGTTCTACATGGTTTTATTCATAGTAATCGTAGAAAGGCGAACCGTTTCAACGGTTTTATTAAAGTGACACTGAAAACAAAACCGACGCTCGCTTTTTCCGAGAACATTCTGTTGGATTTCTGCTTTTAAGGTATAATCCTGTTCAGCTACTGCAGTTACAGTGATTTAGTGAAAAAAAAAACCAGAACCGTACAGAAACGTCTGTAAGTGGCAGATGGTTCATTCGCCGTCAGCTGACACTTTTTTAGAAGCCAAAGAGTACCGCAAATGAGATACAACCGCATAAACACGTCAAAACCTCCAAATTATACTGTGAGAAACTAGATGGAATTATTACGGTATTCTGTTCTAAATAGGCACAAGGAAGTATGAGTGTCCTGTGGACGACATTTTAGGAAACGGTATTTTTGGATGTACACTTAAGAATCTGCAAGATATTTGTTTATTTCAAGTAGATTATTTATGCTTGTTTATGTATTAAAATATGGACTGAATATAACCAAAGTTGTCTTTACAGAAAATCAGTATGAAATTCAAAGAAAAAGCAAACTTTTGACTAGATCAGGCGTAAATTCTGTTGAACTGATAGATGTTTTTTTCTTGCCACCAGTTTTCATTTGATGATTTTGTTTTTTTAAATCTTTACGGTTAATTATGGTACCTTCTTCGTTGCCTGCTGTAAAAAAACTGCATTCTAAAAAAAACATCTCTGCCTTTTTTTATGAACGTTTTCGTAGCATATTTAGCTGTTTAAGATTCATTTAAATTCAGACTATGGTTAAATGTGGTTTTCGATAAAGGAAAGTGGCCATTACACATTGGCTTTGAGAGTATATTCTACTGTCAATTCAACTAACTGTTTGAGATTCAGTTTAAGTCATAATAACTTTTAATAACCACTGCTTTACTACCTGTATACATCGATTTTTAGTCCAATCAGTTATCTTCTGTTAAGTCAAGCAGAATGTTTAATGAAAAAAGCAAAATATTTGTTCAAACTGAGTATATTTTCACCATTATTTGTACAGAACTGAAGAATCATTCTTGATCTTTTTTTTTT